TGATCCGAATAGAGAAATAGTATTTTGAATAGTTTAGAGATAGAGAATAGTGTAGCAAGATTGATCCGTATAGTAATAGAGGATGGAATAGAAATGGTGATCTGTTAGACGCCACACTAATTCCTATATATACATTTTTTTACGATCACGTAGTCTTCTTAATAGAAATGGAATCACATGTGTTTGCTCTCTGGTGATCTGTGTTCAAATTCCAATATCGTCAACGAAACTTTATTCCTATATGACAAGCGGCATATCGACCTTTATCGGTGATTTAATACGGAAATTTAAATATTTTGAACGCAATTGTAATGATCAATGTTGATCATTTTGATATAAAATGTATTTTTTGTAATTTTGCTCTAAAAATGTATTGTTGACCATTTTATTATAAATATCTATTGTTTTAACTTTAATATAAGTTTACTATAAATAGGTATTGTTGGAAGTTTGCTATAAATAGTTATTGTTACTAGTTTTACTATAAATATGTATCATAGGTACTTTTTTCATACATATTTGCATTGCTGGTATTTTTACTATAAAAATGTATTTTTACACTTTATGATTTTGCTTTTGTTTGAAGGTCACTATTTGCCCATAGCTGTGACCCTAACAGGTGCTACCACTCTGGTTGAAGATGGAACTGAGACCGACAGCAATTAAGAGTTGGTTCCACGCTCCTCAAAACCTTCAATATCCCGATCTGAATCCTTGCTGCTAGATGTAGTTTATCGTCATACCCAGGGCTAGGCGGAATAGTACTGTTATATGCATAATTCATATTTTATAGGATGTTTTTTTTTTTACAAATGCATTGTAAATGACTTTACTATATAAATGTGTAGGTTATCAGTAAGGGGTCAATTGGCAGTTGTCAGGATTAAATAGGAGCGATCCTGGTAGAAAATATGTTTCGCTATTTCTTCGTTGCTCTCTGGTTCACGAATAGTATTTTACGTTGAGTGACGTCACGTTTCACGTTCTGCAGATTCTTAGAAATGTTTCTTCCTCTTGCTATCAGCAGAACTAACCGTATTAATTCAACATAGTTTCTAGCCTGTAATCCAAATGAACCAAGAATTCAGGAAAGGTTATTTGGGCGTGCATGCGCGTGTGTATGTATGTGTGAGGGTGAGAGAGAGGGAGGGAAAGAGAGAGGGGAAGAGACGGGAAGAGAGAGGTGGTGCAAGAGTGCCAAGCCTTGTTTTTGTTTATAATAGCAGATGCCCGTGACGGTGAGGCCCATCATGTGTTAATTCCCTCTTCACCTTTGTGTATGCGTTGCTTGCAACAGTCTCCAGGCATTTTAAGTTGCACAATTCTCAACGAAGATGAAGCGAAGCTAATTTGAATGAATGTACTTCTGTGTTTTTAATTAATAAGTTGTCAGGGTGAATTTTGTTTTTATGTATTTTGAGACTTGTTTTGATACGGCAAGAATGGTCGATTTAAAAGAAACTTAATTGAGAAATATGCCTTTTCCTGGTCCAAAATTACATAAAACCTAAAAAAAAAAAACTATACTGCTACATTTTTTTTTTTTTTAAATATAATCATTAAAAAAGAATTTAGTAATTGGAAAAATCCAAGACCGGTTGGTTTTAAATTATTTAAATTCTAGTATTTCTATTTCAATTATTCAATTTAAATAGCTTTAATCAAGACTAGAACGATGAAAAGTACTTCACAGTTGATAATTAAGATTGATTAGACAAAAGAGAATTGCAATATATTTAAGAAGCTAACGTCACTAAAGAGTTCTGGCTTATGTTAAAACACTGGTTCTCATATGATCATCCATATTAAGCAACGTCGAGCCTGGTCAGTACCTAGATGAGTGACCGCTTAGGAGTATCAAGTCCAGTAAGCTTGGATGTGAGGGTGGTGTAATGAATAACGGCGGGAAATTGTAAATCAGAGAGCCGAGTTCCAATTCCCGTTTGATTCGTTATATTCACTTATGCACAAATAAACTTGGGAAATGTATAGATCCATCTGTAGTTCCCCCAGCTTTGGGATAATTGCTAAGACTTGTATCATTAAACTATATTTACCTCAAGAAAATATTCTTAGAATTTAAACATATTTTCTGCCATTAAATAACCCGAAAAGGGTTGATAAGCCGTAGAAAACGAATCAAACAATCAAATCAGAGAGGATAATAACAGTTTTATAAAGGGTCCTGCTGCTTATATTCAATGATACAAGTGAGTAGATAAAAACAATGTACTTAATCTGGCTACAGGATTACACAGCTTTGCACATGCGTCGCACTCATTGGTTGCGACTCGATTTCAAGCAAAATATATTTAGATATAGGCAGTATATATATATATATATATATATATATATATATATATATATATATATATGTGTGTGTGTGTGCGTGTGTGTGTAAAAAGATAAAAAAATTTAAAAAAACAAATGAAAGCTACAGACAAAAGTTCATTTTCTCCATTAAGACATTCATTTCTGTAGTTCACTGCTACCAGCAAGCAGAAATATTTCTTTTCCTGGTGATGGACATGTTGGCCGAAACTAGTCGAGGAATCTAAATGAAATAGCAATAATAAAGACGAAAGAATATTAATCTACAACCCAGTGTATCTGAAAATTTTAATTTTTCAATATTTTTTATTCTTCATATATATATATATATATATATATATACACACACACACACACACACACACACACACACACACACACACACACACACACATATATATATATATACAGATAATAATCCATTGGTATATAATCCAAGTGAATCCTAATAATATGAAATATTAAAACTGATCCACAAAAAAGATAAATTGTATTTATTATAACAGAGTATATATTACATAGATAGAAATCCAATATTACCCCATTCGAATAGCTATTTCGACCCACAAGATTTATTTGTCAAGAAGATAGAAAGAAAGAAAAAAAAGAAAAAGAAAAAAAGGAAAGAGAGAAATTACAATTAAAAGGAAGTTGCAATGAGAGCCTAGACCTAAATTTAAATAAACTGCCCATATCATGGTAATGGTGGTAGAAGTGTCTGGTACGAGAAGACAGTTAAAATGACCTTGACCTATATTTTAAAATATTAACATCTAGTTTATACAAGGAAAATTACTTATTTTAAAATTTGAGATTTTTAAATTTTTTAAGAAAGTGTAATTAAAAAGCTAACATCTAAAATTAAAATTAAAACAATATATAATATACAAATAATAATACATATAATATAATAATTAAAATAATTATTACATGAAATAATTATTAAATAAATTTATTAAATAAACTAAAATTAAATAGAATATAATTTATATTTTATAAATTAATAAGTATTAAATATAAGTTGATAAATATTAAATATAAAATAATAATTAAAATAAATTTTGTTAAGTTAGCCAACACTAATATCAGACAAGTTTTTTCTGAAGTTAATAAAGTTTTTTTTTTTTTGTGTGTGTGTTTTGTGATTTCAGCTAACACTCCTTGCCACTTTTGAAATGCTTGTCATAGTAAAGACTTTGTAATCGCAGATATCACTATAGTACGCTATTGAGCAATACTGATGTCAGACGCCTTCGAATAATACTCGAACTAATAGTACTTGTTCGATAATACTCGCTCGAATAGTAATCCGTATAGTGATCGGAATAGAGAAATAGTATACAGAATAGGGTAGAGAATAGCGATCCGTATAGTAATAGAGGATAAAATAGAATGACAATCATTTAGACACCAAAGCTAATTCCTATTATGTGTTTCCTCTCTGGTCACGTGGTCTACTTAATTCAATAATGGGATCGTCCGTGTTTGCTCACAGGCGATCTATGTTCAAACCCAAGTGTTGGCAGTGACACATTATTCCTAGATAACAGTGTGTTTGTAGAATGTACAACAGTATCCGAAAAAAAACTGAAGATGATGAGACAACGTGGAAAAATTGTATTAGCGACGCGTTTCGTTGGAGAAGCGTGTGCTCTCCCTGACTTCCCCCGGATAAAATGAAATAAAGACAAAACTGTGTGTGACGAAAATGCCTTGGGAACCCCGAGGATAAGTGGGTATCATAAATCAAATTAATTGCCCAATCTTATCACCTCCTAATATCTAGACATAGTGAATGCCCGTCCGCCTGTGTGCTTGTTTGTTTTTATATATAAATGTATTAGAGCCGCTTGGTATTATAATAGTACTATTTACAAAGCCCGAGGGCCACTCGAGGTTGAGGATTACAGAGTAAGAGACGCATCTTGAGTGGAAGAGAGCGGTTCGGTTGGCCCTCTATGTTATAAAGTTAGAAGACAGCAGGAGGATTCATATGCTTGATGGAGCGTGACAGAGAACCGACCGACCATTTTTTCCAGCATCTTTAACGATGGATCATATGTAGGAGTTCCACTTGGGGTCTGGACTAAGTTTAAGTTCTAAAAAGTCACGGGGGCTCCCTAAGGGGACATCCATTCATCACACGTTCGATCTGAAATGGTGGAATGTCACTAGTTTACTTTTCTCCACTGAGCTGTTAGAGATAGTTCAGAGGAGAGATCAGCTGCTAAGCTCTGGATATTGAGGGTTTTGGAGGTGCACGCATATACTGTTGTATCATCAGTATAGATATTCACAAATGAATGGAGTCAAAGTTAGTGGGTAGCTCCAACCCAGATATAGCAGCTATAATCTGTTTTTGGTCTGATCTGCCTATTTTAAAGATAAAGCTTTCTAGGAGGTGTCACATACATTCTGGAGTGGTACAAGGTATCGATACATTTTTCAGCAACTTTAGTAATTTATTTAATTTTTTACTGATCACCTATTGTGTGCATATGCATAAGGATATTATAACGTCTTTTTTGGCATAATCGAATTTCTTAAATTTTTGATAAATGCCCGAAGAGAAACTCGGTTTAAACTAGACTACATAAGGAACATGGCTGAAGTCCAAGTTACATTGGACATATCATTTAACGGTTATTTTTTTTCTTCTTCCTTTTTAGTTCCACCTGCCTATCTCCCACTTTTCTCCTAATTTTTCTGCTCGGAATACGCCATTTTCTTTTTCATTTAAAAGGAGACTGCACGTCTGTCGACGCCATCGTCCTTATCTTTGTGGATATCGTCTCTTTACAACCCTGCTTCTTTGCTTCCTGCATCCAGAATCTCGTCCATCCCTACAACTTACATTAACATTTTTAAAGCCTGAAATCAAAGCATAAAATAAACATCTAAAACCGGCAGTAAGTCCTGCCTTACAATATGGCGTCACTGATGACTGTTGTCCAGATAGATGCAGCATAGATGTCGGGAAGGAATAATCGATGCACCATGTCGCTATTACAGATCGATAGTCGACATATGGATGCAGCCGATGATCAAGGATTTGGAAGTGGCATATTTTAACAGAGGCGTCGTACATTCATTATCAACGCAATGGCAAGTATTGAGAGAGAATTCAATAGCCGAACACTATGCTCAAGTGATCTATTCGCTTTCGCATAGACACATACACGCACTGCTACGCACATACACAAGATCAAACGTACACATATATATCTGCGCATATCATAACAGTTGCTGTTTGGAAATATACAGCAAACACGTGAATATAAAAATGTGTGGAAACTATAAAATATTAAAAAAATATTTTTCTGTTTAAAAGATTATATATGACAGTCTCGTATATTGGTTTAAATGTCTTCAAAATATTTCTCCGGTCCGCAAGAGTTTAGGAATAGTTGTTTCTTTATATACGTAACCAGCCATGACTTTCATCGCTTCATCACAGGCTAGAGAATTGTGATATACTCCTAATCATCTCTCTCTCTTTCTTTCTCTCTCTCTCTCTCTCTCTCTCTCTCAATATATATATATATATATATATATATAAAATATATATATGGGACTCATTTGGAAAAAACTTAGACAGCTCAACTTAACAGTAGAACAAATCGGTACCCGAGGAAAAATGGTGAATAAAAAAAGAAAGAACCAAGAACATTAAAACAATGCGAAAACAATCGTCCAGTGTTTAATCTCCAAGTCCAAAGAAAAAGAAAACCCAAAACGAGTAAAAAGACAACTACATAAAGTGCTCAATACACTAAGTAGAGCAAACATATATATATATATATATATATATATATATATATATATATATATATATATATGCGTGTGTGTGTGTGTGTGTGTGTAAAATATATAGAAAATAGGAAAGAACTCGTTAGGTAAATAATCCAAAGTTCTTTAGTATTTTTTGTTATTATTTTTTAAAAATAGTGCTCGATACAAAGTAGAGCATAAATATAATTATTTATTTAAAATATGATTCCAACGCTACATAAGAGTTCTCATGTTTCAAAACAAGAGCCGAAAATTTCAATATAATTATTTGAATTAAACTGAATTAAAGTACCAAGCACTGTTCCATCTTCAAGTAAAATTTTTTTGGAATCAAAATAAAAAAAAAACAAAAAAAAAAAATTTCGGTTGAAGATGGATCAGAGCTTGGCACTTTAATTCAATTTAATTCAAATATTTATATAGAAGTTTTCGGCTCTTGTTTTGAAACATGAGAACTTTTATGTAGCGTTGAATCATATTTTTAAATAAATAAATATATATATATATATATATATATATATATATATATATATGTGTGTAAAAAAGAAAAAAACAGTAAGATATATAATCCGGTGTTCTTATTGATATTTTTATTTTTACAAAACAGTGCTCAATGTAAATTTACAGAGCATAAATATTATATATTAACGGATTTAAAAATATGGTTCCTTTGCTGCATAAGAATTACCATGTTTTAAAAAAGCGAAGCTAAAAACTTCAAATTTAATTTAATTGAAAGAGCATTCTGTTTCAACTTCAAGCGGATTCCAAAAATTGACTTGAAGATGAAACAGAACTGATACTTTTTTAATTTAATATATATATATATATATATATATATATATATATATATATATATATATATATTGGCTTTGATCCGGTGAGTTTAAACTCAGCGATAATAACACATGAGGACTGTCGTTCGGAGTTTCCGTGGCAAGTCTTTTGCACCGTTACTTTTTTTATCAGCAGATCCAAAAAGTGTGGATGGTACGACACAAGACTTCACCACTTGAAAGAAATTATTGTGTTGGTTTCCTGACAACTACATCTAATTAGTTCCACACATATCCGGCTACTGCGAAAAACTCTACGAAACAACATCAAGTTCATCTTGGCATTTGGAATGTATGAACTCTCCAGGACAACAACTCAGCACCAGGAAGAAAATCAGCTCTGGTCTCATTGGAGCTAAAGAAGTACAACATTGATATAGCTGCACTGGGAAATAACCATCAGTCAACTACATGAAACGAGAAAGCAAAATAAGACATCTAACAGTGTTCCTGCTGCACTTGGATGCAATACATTCTCCTCTACTGTTTGTGAACTTTTCTGCAATTCTCGAGCCGGTCTCAAAAGTCATAGGCATGCAGATAATTAGTTCGTGATCACCGGCACCTCATACGTTGAACTCGATGGGAGAATCCATCATATATATATATATATATATATATATATATATATATATATATATATATATATATATATATATATAAACACAATATATTGCCGCACACTATTGTGGTTTCGATTGCTAGGTCTCTTCAGGTGGCTGGGGTAACCCGTAGTGTCCGGTAATATACGGTGTTTTACCTCTTAATCGTATTGGTGCTTTGCATGCCTGCTTTTTCAAAGCGGCTTCATTGAGTACTTTATTATACGTCCGTTTTTTTTACGGTTGTTTTTCCAGCCTTTTAACATATTTTGTCATATATATATATATATATATATATATATATATATATATATATATATATATTATAATTATTTATATATATATATATTATAATTATTTATATATATATATATATATATATATATATATATATATATTATAATTATTTATATATATATATATATATATATATATATATATATATATATATATATATATATATATATTATTTTAAAAAAAATATATATAAAAAAAAAAATAATTATAATTTAAGCTCTACTTTTGTAATGAGCACTGTGTTTTAAATAATAAAAAACAAAAATACTAAAGAACTTTGGATTATTTACCTAACGTGTTCTTTCCTATTTTTCTATATATTTGCACGTACACACACGCGCGTGCGCGCGCACACACACACACACACACATGTATATATATATATATAGATCTTACTCCTCCAAATATTTTTAATAGATTATATATAGTGTCGATATAACCAACTTGGTCTGAAAATCACATTGAATAGTGAAGCTGACAATCATCATGCAATGGTTTGTCCTCTGTCTATGATATATATATATATATATATATATATATATATATATATATATATATATATATATATATATATATATAGGTACCTCCATTTTGCCACTTCAAAACGGCATAGCATAATGTAAAAAAGGAGCCCCAAACTTAATAAAAAAAATTATCGTCAAAATGTTTTTTATTATTAAGAAAGAACAAAGTATATCTTAATTATTTTAAAAAAAAATTTTCTCCCTTTCTCACATGTACGAAATTTGTGCTAAAAATCCTGTTTTTTTGTCAACTGTGTAATGGTAATGGACATTTTCATACAACCGTTTTCTGGTAAAAATGATACATTAATTTTGAGATTCTTGCAAAAATCAAATAATTGTCGCATTTTAATGAAACATTCAAAACTTATTCAAAAACGAATGAATTTATTTTTGAAATTTTTATTTTTTAGAAAATCATGTTAAAAATATATTTTTACATCTGTTATACCCCCACCCACCTCGAAACTTAATTTCATTAAATTTTCTAGAATTTCATAACGTCAAAATATCGTTTTATATTAGTTAAAAGCAAGACTTCTCAGAAAATATGAATCAGCAATTTTTTTCCAACTATCACCAACTTTTAAAAATCTGTTCCAAATCGTACAATATAAACTGCAATAATTATTTAATTAGATAGGCTTTTTGCTTTTATAAATAATATATATTAAGGACATTATTGCCTGAAGAAAAAAAAATTCGATGAATAATGAATTTTTACAAGTATTGTTACATTTTTCTTTTTTTAATTATAATGTTTGAACAATGTTTTAAAATTCTTCCAAACCTTATCTGAGGTAGGTTATTAAATTATGAATTGAAAACTATATTTACTAAGCAAAAATTAAAAAGCTTAATAATACAAATCATCCCACCAAAGCTTTTTAGAATAAATATATATTTTTTGTGTATCTTAATGGTTTCTTTTTTAAGTATGGTGTTTCATAAGTGACATTATGGTCAAAAGGTCACGTGTTTCAAGGCTTGTCCCCCTTAGGGAAAACTCATTGACATATAAACGTTTTCGGCTGCGGGCAATTCTTTCATTTCACTTCCGTTTTTCACCGTCAGGCTTCTTTGGAAAACATCCTTTCAATATTTAAAAAATAAGTTTCTTTTTTCTTATTTCACTAAATATTTTAATTTTGCTATGTATTCATCTTACTTTAGTGTGTGCGATGCATCAAATAATTTGTTTTATTTATTAGTTTTTTCTTAGTTAAGAAAAATAATTTTATTTAGTTTTTGTTTAAATTTCTTTTCTTTTTTTGTGAATCAAATAAAATAACTTTAACAATTCATAGCCATCAAAAATATAACAATTGATAATAAGGAATAAAATGAAAAAAATAAGATCTTAGAAATATAAATTCATACTAAATACCATAAAAATATAAATACCATAAAAATATAAATACCATAAAAATATAAATACCATAAAAATATAAATACTAAATACCATAAAATTTCAAATTATAGTGTTACCTCTATCATTATTTTATATTATCTCAGTTACTTAAAAATTTAGTATCTGAGATAATATAATTAAAATTATTATATTGCCTCAGTTATTATTTAAAAATTTGATGATTGAGCGTGAGATAATTAAATTATATCAACCCCAGTAATTAAATTGATAACTGAGATAATATAATAATTTTATTAATTATAATTTAAGAATTGAGAGTGAGATGGTTATTAAAGTATCATCTCATTCAAAGTTATTAAATTGATAACAGATAATATAATAATTTTATTAGTTATATTATGTCAGTTATTAAATTAAAATTAAATTATTGAGATAA